AGTCCAGAAACAAATAATTGATGAAGTAAGAATAAGAAAGTTCAATATATGCCAAGCAAGTCAATATAGGCCCAAGAAAATGATAAGTTTATAAGTGTTAAGTTTCAGAATTAAATAAAGTACAGTTAGTGGTTCACAGTGCATTTCGTTAAAAACGGTGCAAAAATCATACTGTGAATTATGAATATTGTTACTTAGGAAATAAAAATTAATTTAAATGACTTTAGAAAAATAAAAATATATCTGTAGCTTTAAGTTAAGTTCCGGGTCAATTAAGTAAAAATACGCGATAGAAAAACAACCGGGTAAAAGGGCCACATGTGCTTAAAAGCTTAAGTGACTCAAATGAGCACTATTCAAAATCAGCTCTCTCTCCTCTCTTCCTCAAAGAAGCCGAGCTGCACTTGGTGAAAAGGGGGGTAGGGTTTGGTTCTTCATTTCTTTGATTCTCACTCAAAAGTTAACCAAATCACAAGTCCCACTACTTGAAATCGATGGGAAACCACCCAATGAGTCCATCCCACCCATTTATTTGAGCTATCATTGGTTGTGTGAGGAGATATTTCCTTCCCCAAATTCGTGTACTATTCATCAAGAGGGCAAAATGAAGTTTTTGATGGAGATTCTCTTGGTGTAGGTCTTCTAGGCTTTGGGTAGTTGATTTGAGGTAACAAACCTCTATTTCCATGATGTTGTTTTGATTATTTAAGTTATAAAATTGTGTATATGCCTTGGGTGGGAAAGCATGATGTGTTAAAATATGTATTGATGAGGAATAATTGATATTTTGATGTATAAAATGAAAATAAGCATTTGTATGTATGTAAAAAAATTAGAAAAAAATCCTATGATTCCTCTACATGTTCGGCCATCATAGGTGAAGAGTAGGTTGTTGTGCAAAAATTTTATCTTAAGTATTAGGAAGGTTTAAGGTGTAGGAATTAAGTGGAAATTTGATAAATTAGTGAGAATGCCAAAGTGGGAAAAATTATATGAAATATGCCCTTAGGTTTAGGCCTTGTGGGGCTTTGGAGGGACTTTATGCTCCAAAAATTAAGTTGGAACCTTATGAAAACATGTATTTGTACGTGTAAGTTACGTGTAAGTGAAGAAAAAGAACCTTTGTCTATGTCCTTGTAGTGTTCGACCTAGAGGGTGGTATAGGAGTATATTTTGTTACATTTTATTGTAAATAAAATGTGTTGTAATTCATTGTATAAAATTGATGAGTTAAGAAGTGAAATGACTCGAAAAATGGTTGAAAAATACTTTGATTTCCTAAGGGTATGTCCGCGGCGTTTGAAGTAAAATGGCATGAATGATATTAAAAATTCTCAAGTGAATACTTGATTAAAATTAAAGAATGCTAACTAGTATAAGGTGGTCTAGACTTGTGTATTGGCATAACATTGGCAAAAGTATAAAGAAAGGAAAATAAGCGACAAAATGTATGTTTATGAAATAATCATGGCATAATATCATTTTATTGATGCATTGTAAATTATTCTCTAGGTGTGCCTAGGGATTGAGAAGGATCGGAAATCTCTTGAAGCGATAAAAGTAACTTGTTCCACAAGTAAGCGTATTGGTAAAGCTTCAAGAGGTAAGCTCTATGTTTAAGGAGTCTTTTCCTGCTTGAGTGCTCCACCATGGTTAGTGAACTATGGTTGGACTGTATGACTGTGATTTAGATGCTTTGTATAGATGCATTCATATAGAGTTATTTGATAACATGATATGTTTTGCTCTGATATGACTTCTGTAATATGATTTCTATAACAATCTCTGGCCATTGATTGTATAGTACCCGGACGTCCGCTTTGGGGTCCTCCCTCGGGACTGATGGTGTACGCCTCTGATATGTCTGGTTCCGCTTTGGGGTCCTCCCTCGGGAACACGTGCGTTGATTTCCGCTTGGGGTCCTCCCTTGGGAATGACGGCGCACATCTCTGATATGATATGGATATATGCTCTGTTCTGTTATGATATCTGTTATATGTTGTATTCGTATACTTTGTATCTGACTTTCATGCAGGAGTGAGCCAGGGGTATGGAGAATTCTCTATAAACCTGGAGCTTATTGAGATTTGTAATCTCACCCCTCTTTGGGGACACATTTTCAGGTGCCCAGATTCCCGGTGAGTCCTCACTAGGCAGGGACACGACACGTGGCTGAGGCAGCTGACAGATCGGATTCTTAGTGGCTGTAGGCTACTACCTTTTTGGAGTGTTTGATGTATTTTAGTATTTTCGCATTTGATGGATCATGATATTGATCCTTTATTTTGTATATGGCCTGTATATGTTTTGTACACGTCTGTCGCTTTGATGCATGTACATTTGGGTATTCAGGCACGTTATGTGATGAGGTAGTATTCAGATATGTTTACGTGTTGGATTGCATGCGGTTAGATATAGTGGCACTGAGCCAAGTTATGCATGCGCCCATGGATGGGCATTTGATTATATTTGTATAAACTGTTTATCAGGAAATGCTTCTGTGTGGGATTGGAAAATCCCCAGTTGTCCGATTTATAGAGGAAACTCTGCCCGATTTTCGTTTACGACGAATGAGAATTTAAAAAGAAAAAGAAAAAGTTAGCTCGTATTTTCAGAAGTTAAGTCTTCCGTTGTTTTCTGTTTTATCATATGTATGTTAATTGAACCGGCTCGAGACAGGGATGTTACAGTTTCTAAAAAATCCTAGCCATAAACTCATTAGGCTATAGGTTTTTCGAGCTCTTCTCGTACTCTTATCCCAATTGGTAGGGGTGGTAAACGAACCAGGGGCCTTTGGCTCGGCTCATGAAGGCCTGAGCTTACATGTATAAAATTGGTTGTTGCAACCAAGCTTGGACTTGTATAAAAGCTCATTTAATAAAAAGGTCTCAGGCTCCAATTCAAAAGCTCGGCCTTAGAGCCTCTCAAGCTGATCAAGTATATTAATTTTTATTTTTATTTTATATTTTTTATACTACTTGCAATCAGTGTTATTAAAATCGGACCTACCCGGCCGAGTCGACCCCAGAACTGGTAAACTGGTCATATAACCGGTCCGATTGAAGCAACGGATCGGCCATACATCAAAACCGGTGCGACCCGGCCAGTTTTCATAGAAATCGGTGACCCGGTCGGTTAAGCGGTGACCCGACCCGGTCCCAAAAAAAAAAATTCCAAATTTTTTTTTCAAAAAAATCATAGTGGACATATTTGAATATTTTTTCGCTTATTGAGTTACATAAGTTATGTACCTACAACACTAATATTATCTCAATTATGTACTATGTACATTTTTTTGAATTAATTTATAGTTAGAGATGTCATTTTCTGAACCTAAAGCCTCGTATGACGATCATTATATTTTTATTTGATCTTTTATTGGATAATAATATGTGATTTATTAATTTTTATATTAAAATATTTGAAATTTTTGTCATTTTTTTAGATATTTAAGTATGTTTATAATTTTTTAATATAAATTATAAAATTGCATATAATTATCGGGTCATGCGGTTGAACCAGTGGTTGAACCAGTGACCCAATACCTCGACCGTGTCAATGACCGGGCCGATTTTAATAACATTGCCTTGAATAGCCCTCTCTTTGTCTCCTCAATCCATTTCACCCTATTTTATTGGTTAAATAGACTTTTTGAATGATTTTATTCTATATTATATTGTTTGAATATACATTGAATTTATTAGGGCTATTGATTGTATATTCTGTTTGAATAAATTTTTGTTATCTTATTTTTTTAAAATAGGCTAACAATCATACTTTTATTTTTTGTAAATAAGTCAGGCCAGAGTCCCATAATTATATTCGTAACAGGTAACAAACTTGATCTGACACAATGAAATATAAGCTTAATCTTTTAAGACCAAAACTCGGGTGTGGGTTTAAGCAAAAGAGCACAAACCCAACAATTTTTTCTAGTTTTCATTTGCGTGCTTATAATTTATGAGGGAAGATATTCTTACTATCAAAATTTTCTACTACTAACTAACTTACTACCTATCTAATCACTGTTGAATCAAAGAGAGAGAATGCTAAAAAGTTTTTGAAAAAAGAGAAAATGTTGATCCAATGGTGATTAAATAAGTAGTGAGTTGGTAGTAAAAATTTTTGGTAATAAGAATATCCCTCCTCATAATTTATATATTAAAAATATCGAATGAATAACCGGATGATCGCCAATTATGATAAGAGTTAAAAACAATTTGAGGAGTGTTTGGGTTCACAACCGTAAGGATATTTCTGAGTTTAAAGTTAAAGAACTCACAAAAAAAAGTTCAAGTGATGGAGAAAATACAAAAACCACATTTTCTCTTCAAGAACAACAAGTCCATATCATCTACACTCGAGAATTCAAGTAATAGGAGTTAATAGTAGTTGAGCAAAGTTGAATCTTTTACTACTCTTGGAGGCAGAGAAGGAGGTTAGTTTTTTCAATTTCTTGTTATTTTCAGCTGCTCCTGTGGTGTTGACCTTTATTTCTTTTACGTTTTACCCAATATAGGAGAAAATTTTGCTTCCCCGAGAGAAGAAAGAGGACCAAAAACTGTGGACACTGCTCTATAATAGCCATTAAGAGTGTTTCCAGACTTGAAGCTTATTTGGGTGCAAGATTTTCTTTAAAGGCTGGCATGATCCGTATGTATCTTTATTATTGGCAATCAAAATCATAATTACGTTTGACGTGAAAATCCATCCCAATATTTGATGTTGTGTTCAATGATTTAATCCAAATAAGTCTACACAACTGGCCAAGTATGATACTGTTACAGATAGATTAGCTACCATTGCAATATTGCTATCAAAGGATAAATTCATTGATACACTCTCAATCTGGCATCTAGAGTGTTTGCCGACTACATTCTAAGTAAATGGAATTTGAAGGGACTAATTATTTTGAAGTAACAAAGAGATTAAAGCAGGAAATGGTAAAAAATTTGCAAACTATAACTGTGTATAACAGACTGAAACTATGTAAAATACATTCACAGTAAACTATCTGTTTTAGCTGGGAGCCTCTTGAAGAAATTGCTTGGCACAGATGGTAGCTTGCTCCTAAACCTTGGATGTCGCAAATAATACAAACCTGTTACCAGAGCCACCACTCTGAATGGTGTTGCATAGAGAACAACAGCTGCACAAAAGCTGAATACTTCAAAAATGCAGGTTGCTCTGGGGTCTCTCCAACTCAGTAGAGTCTGAAATCTCTCCCCTTGTGTAGCTATGTCCCCAACAATTGTCTGAATCCTACCTGCAACACTTCTAAGCCTGTCATACCTCATTCTCACTACATCAAGCGATTTTGAAGTTGGGAATGTGTCAAACTCTTCATCAAGTTCATCTGGTTGAACAGCTTCTGCCCATGAGAGTTTAGTATCCATGTGAGGAGGGTGTCTAGGACGGAACCTATAGTTCCACAGACCAATCAAGAACATGTAGAGAAACACAGTTGGTAGTATCAATTCTGGGTACCATATCAGTATCAGGAAAAGAATGTGAACTAGAATTGTTGTGATGTGATTCTTCCAATAGCAAACATCACTGAACCATCGTCCCATTGTGATCATACCAGAAAGAAGGGACATGATGCGAAAGAAGTTAGCTTTGCTTCTTCTCATGCTCCACATATGAGAATCAACATCCAGCATGTACTCCACCACCTCCTTCCTTAGAGAGGGTTCAGCTCGGCCAAGCCTCGCACCTACAATATTCATGGCTTGGTATCTTAAATTGTCAATTTGGTTAACTGTGAAAGGATGTAAGTAGTGCATCTTGGGAAGCATGGGTTGGCCATAAATGTAAACCATATTAGCTAGTGAGAGTGAAGTAAACCTCACTGCTAGCTGAAGCTCACCCATCCTCTTAACTCCATGTGGGTGTAAAACAAGAAGTGGATGAGAATTTATGTAAATCCTATGAGCTTCAAGTGTTGAGAGCCGAATCCTTACCTTTCCAATTCTAGAATCTCGGGCTGCACTGCCACTAGGAGCTTTTTCCCCTCCACCTAAATGGCAATTGTCAAAAACCCCCAATGTTATCACAGTGCAAGGATCATAAACCTCCCATGTGTATTGCTCATTCCATTTTGGACTAAAAGTGTCCACAAGTGTTCTAGTTCGGACCCATTTCTGACCATACTTTGCAACACAGTATGCATCTGTGCTGCCACGGCCATCCTTCATCTTCATTGGGAGAAGCCCTTGTGCTCCTAAGATGCCTACTTCAAGTATCCCAATAGGCTGCTTCCATAATTGTCTTGCTGTTGGTCTTTGATCACTTATGTACAATGCGGATTCGTCTAGGACATGGTATCCACCTTCAAGGCAAATTCTCAGGTGAATCCTGCTTGAAAATTTAAGCTCATTCCTCCTATCACCTTCCAACACTCCAAAACCAAATGTCTGAAGATTGAACCAGCGAGAATGAACTGGCCTGTGGTCCAGCCGCTTCTCAAAGAGGGTCAATGGCAAGCTTATTTTCCCAAGTACCTCGTCTTTTGAAGGGTGCACACGATCCTCCACTGTAATTGTCAATTGCTCCTCAAATGGTTCAGCAGCTACAAAAACTAAATCTTCATTCCAAAGTGGAGTAGTTGTTCTAGTGGGACATATATTGGTCTTCAGTGCTTGGCACCCCACTTGAGCTTTCACAAAAACCTCTGGTAAGCGGTTTCTGTCTCTAGATATCACATCTTGAGCTTCAATGACATTGACTCTAAGATACCACAGCTTTGGTGACACATAAACCTTTGATCTGACGTTGAAAACACCTTCCCCATACACAGTGGCAGCATCAGAATGCCAAGCATATGAGAAAGCTTCATCAGCTTGTGTTCCCATCCAAACTGCAAGCATAATATCACCCCTGACCTTACCTTCTCCTCCTAAGTCCTCGAGTCTGTACCATTGAGGGGCCAGTGGGCTATCTGGTGGAACTCTTGTTGGAACCTCATTGAGGTCAAAAACCACCCTTCCAAGATAATCATCTCTACCAACCATTTCCTTGTCTTTCACAAAGACTTCTAGAACAGAAGATTGAATGCGGTCTTTGGAGAAAGCAAACACTTGGTTCCACTCTGGGTTCAATTTCTTCTCAAAGTGCTTTGTTCTTCCTTTGTAGTTCCCCAGCTTCACTTCCACATAAGGATTACAGCTTGAGGTGATGTTGCTTGAGGGAAGGTCTTTCGCTTTCACGACACGAACATACAGATAAAACATCTGCTCAACAAGGTCATATGTGCTTGTGAATCTTTCACCACCACTCACCAACCCTCTTCCATTACTAGGCCACCGCTCACCAAGCTGTGGGTTGGTGTCCATGAGATTGTAGTTTTCATCATCACTAGCATGTACTTGGGGATCAACTGGGTGCATTGTGAGTGGTGTACCTTGTGGTTGTCTCTCTACTAAAATCCTTGGCTGGGGGTTTGTGGCATTGAGATTGTAGCTTTCATCATGGCTAGGATGGATTTGAGGATTAACTTGGGGCATTGTGAGTGGAGTTCCCCTTGGTTGTTTATCTACTAAAATCCTTGGTTGTGGAATGGTGTCCTTGAGATTGTAGCTTTTATCATGGCTAGGATGAACTTGAGGATTATTTGAGTGCATTGTGAATGGAGTACCTGGTGCTCGTGCTCGTCTCTTAATTGAAATTCTTGGCTGTGGATTGGTGTCATTATGATTGTAGTTTTCAACATGGCTAGCTTGGACTTGAGGATCAACTGAGTGCATTGTGAATGTAGTATCTTGTGGTCGTTTCTTTATTGAAATCCTTGGCTGCTGGAGAACTTGGTGTTTGTCTAGCTGTTGGGATATCTCTTGGACAAGTTCTTTGCTTTCTTTCTTTGGCACTTGATCAATATCAATGCCACTAGGTTGAGCTTCTGCAGCAGAGTCATTTGACACAGCAACAGAATATACTTTTTCTGCTTCTTCTCTGGTTGTTTCTGGGGCATCAAATGCAGGACCCTCTAATCCGGGATCAGCTTCTAATGTTTTGTCTGTGTCAGTTAGGCTTGAATTTTCTGTAACAGAGGGAGTACAATGAGGAGGAGGAAGGTTAGTAATAGTGGATTCTGGTACTTGTGGTGGAGTAGAAGGTGAGAGTTTTTCTAGTTCTGAAGGGAAGATAGGAGAAATATCTTTAGGTTTGGACTCTGATGCAATGTATATTTTTAGGCCAATCTCACCCTTAACAGATGAGAAAAACCACTTCTTTTCAAGTGGGAAAATCTGATACACTTCCTCACCTTCTTTGACAATATTAGAGCAAGGAATTCTTACCCTACCAAGGAAGTTTCGGCCAGGAATAGGTCTCCTCTCGTTGTAGACTGAGACTTCAATAGTTTGGCGATGGTAAGGTTTGGTTGCATCTAAATGAAAGACTAGTTTGTGATTCCAAGTGGGGTTAAGGTTCTTTGGGACAGTTCTGGTTCTACTTAGCTGGTTTTCAAAGTCGACTTCCACAAAGGGACTTGATGATCCCTCACCATCTTTTGGCATAAGATCATGAGCATTAATAACCTCCACTACCAGTTTCATATTCTTTTCTTTCTAGTGTCTCTGCCACAATGCAGCTATGTGGCTATCAGAAGTAACCAGATATTCGTTTCTGAAGCATTGAAGTTATACTTAAGAATGCAAAAGATAAAAAAAGAATACACAGTTATGGTTCTCTCCCTTTATTGCACACCAGAAGCACTTGCTACTAATTTGGTTAAGCAAGGAATAATTTCATGGAGAAGCTGTCTTAGCTTTAGCAATCTGAAGATGGGAAAGCTTCAGATTGATCTAACTTAAAGCTTGGACTATTCCTCTGATCTGAAGAGGTTGTTGCAATTGTTACTGTTTAATCTTAATTCTTCAATGATTATAAATACTAAACTAAATGGTAATAGCAGAATTTTGATTTTTCATTTTGTCCAGATCTTACTAATCCCAGTTATTGACTCCACTAAACAAACAAATAATTGCCTTAATATCATAACAGGATGAGTCATGAGTGGGTCATTTTTTGTTGTTATTTGTTTTCCTTTCTTTTTATTTTTTCTAATTTCAATATCTCTGTTCAGTGAAAATAAATAATTCTTTTGATTCTTAACTTATTCATGCAGCATAATGATTCTCAAGTTTCTATCATTGAAATAGTTACTTGGTGGCGTTAATAGCCTAAAGGGATTAGTTGAATCAAAGCAAATATATTATATGTACATTTTAGGATCATTGCTTTCTTCTATATGCAGCAATCCCAAAATGAAGAAAAAGTGAATGAATAGGGCTTAAATGGCATAGCTGAATCTGCAATAAAGCAAAGGTAGATTAGCTTAGGGGCTTGTGACCTAAGACAGAGATGCTTTCCTTGAGCTTTATTCTTCTCTTCCTTTTTAAGATTGTGTATTATAATTATCTCTTTGCTGAGTTTTGGACTAGCCGGTTAAAATCCCACATAGGGTCTTTCAAATGTTACTTAGGGGACATAGCTCCTAACTATGTCTCAAATGTCACGCAGTAATATAACAGTGCAACATGAAGCACTTAGGAAAAAAAGAAAAGAAAAAGCAAGTAAAATATGAGATAGGATATTGTTACTATCAATATTATTATTATATCTTAACCGTTGATTTCTACCAATTAACGGTTATTATTTATTACGAATTAATAATTAATTAATGTGTTCGATTTGTGGAAATAATATCCGTTGATTGACGAAAATCAACGGTTAAAATATGATAGTAACATTGATAATAACATTATTTGGTAGTAACAATATCAAATCCCATAAAATGCCAAAATTTGATTATGAAATTTCATCTGAAAATATAGGAAGTTATAATCATTCGAAATAATTATGTCAATCATTTGCTTATAAATAAAATAAACTCAAACAATTACCTAGTAGAAAATTATATAATTTTTTTAAAGAAGTGAAAGTCATAAAAATATACAAAAGTGAAGTGTGAGTAGTAACTTGTAAGGGTGGTAATTGATGCAACACTCCTTCAAGTCTTCCCATGTTGATTGAAATCCATCTAACATAGGGTACCTTACTTGAAAGGGGTAAAGTGAGTTCAAGGTGCCCAATTGACAAGCAAAATTATATTGCTGGAAGAGTTATTTACCAACTCTTACTTGCATCACGACGTGCAGCTGATCAAGTCTGTTCTCCAGGGATGAAAATTTTATGGATACTGTTCAATCTTGTAAGTTTTGCCATCTTTATTGGCGATTCTATATATTATTTCTGGATTCTCATTTCTGCGGTTACTTTTGATGGAAAAACTTGCAGCAAATATATTTATATAAGATACGGAGCTGGATCCTGAAATTAAAAAAAAAAAGAAAAAAAAATTCCAAGATCCAGAATCGGATCCTGGTGAAAGTAAGTGTTGCTGTAAATTTTCTGATCTGCAGAAACAGGAGAGCTATTAAAGCCATTATTTCTAGGGAAAAGTTCATAAACCCTTGTGATTTATTCTTTTATCATTCATATCCTTATTTTATTTTATTTTATCAATTACTCCCATAATTTTTTCCATCTAAATCCTCCTTTTAACATTATTAATAATTGAGATAACCACAAGGTGTAAGTTTTGCCAATTTTTATCGGTGATTCTATATAGGGTTCAGTGAATGTTCTTTAAAAATATATAAGTTGTGTCTTTTTAATTTTTTACACTATGTACTATAGGTAATACATAGTGATAATACAATTTTTTTTTACTGAGAAGAGGAAAAAAAACATTTTCATATTATAATTAATTACTACTTGTAGTAGAGTGTTATAGATAAAAATATAACTTTTTATATTATAACTATGAGGAAGGTTATACTTACAACCATTTTTTTACAACCTCTTACAACCATATCTTATCACCGTTGATTTCCGTCAATCAACGGTTATCCTTTATTGTGAATTAATAATTAATTAATGAGTTTAATTTAAGAAAATAATAACCGTTGATTGGCGAAAATCAACGATATTAAAATATGGTTGTAAGAAGTTGTAAAAAGTATAATGTTCCTCTATAACTATATATACCCGTATTACGTGATATTAAAAATTAAAAGAATACAATCTTAAAAGTTGTTTACTTTTAAATTACAAACATTTTCCCCTTCTATATATATATATATTTTTTTTTTGATAACATCCCCTTCTATATATTATTTCTATGATTCCGTATACGTTTCAAGGACGATAGAGGTGTATTCTTTTTTTTTTTTTGATAAACGTATTCACTTTGTATTCTGTTAACCTTGTGGAGATGCAAGCCTTCTATATAGGGAAATTAATTTCCTGCTACTCCTCTCTCTCTTTCTTCTTCCTCCTCCTCTCACTCTCCAGCGATGAATTGGTCTAGAAGCATTACATATTTGCTCCCTGTATAGAGCAAATAAGGACGCATGCTCCTCTGCTAACGGAGAAATTGATTGATAGTAACATTGGTAGTAACTATACTTGGTTGTTACAATATCTCACCCATATATATATATATATATATATAGAAAACATTTTCTTCTTTTAAAGGAGAAAATTTTTCTCATGTTAATGACTCATAATATAGGTGGAGCCCACAAAATAGTGGAGAGAAAAAAAGTTTCAAGGTGGGACCCACTTATGTTATGAGTCACTAACATGAGAAAAATTTTCTCATTTAAAAGGAGAAAATATTTTCCCATATATAAAAAAAAAAAAAAAAATATATATATATATATATATAGGTAAAATTATATCTCTAGTCGCTCTACGTACAGCAACAACAGGTGTATAGTTATGACACCCCGTATTTAATGCTTTCAAGTATATATATGATAAGTATTTGATTGCTGCACGTACAACAGCTGCATAAATGTAAACCTCATATATATATATATATATATATATATATATATATATATATATGGTTTGGTGTTTGTCATTTTAAATGACATAAGTTATGTCATTTTAGGAGAGAGATAGACACAGAAAAATGAAAATCATGAGAAAGAGAAAGTGAGTGATTTTTTTTAATTTAAAATTCAAATTTTCTGTGTCTGTATCTCTCTTAAAATGACATAACTTTCTGTCATTTAAAATGATAAATATTTTTCCCATATATATATATAGGGAAAAACATTTCTCCGGCGACTTGAGATAAGTTTATCTCCGGCCACCCGAAACTACGTCGTTTTGTTTATTTATTTTCTTATATTAATTGATTTACCTTTGAATAGTTATGATTCCCTATTTCTCTCTCTTCCTTCATTACCATTGAACCATCTTTGTACGGTTATGATATATTAGCCGGAGATAAAATTATCTCTGCTTGAGAAACAATAAGCATATATATATATATATATATATATATATATATATATATATAAAATCTGACATATATCTTTTTTAAGGGAAAAATATTTTCCTTTTAAACGACACAACTTATATCATTTTACTCTCACAAAGACGTGAGACTCACACCTTTGTTTTTTTTGTCCACTCTCTCTCTCTCCCTCTTTATGTATCTCTTTCTCTCACTTAAAATGGCACAATTTTGTTATCAAAAAAAAAAAAAAAAAATGGCACAATTTTACCTCCTTTAAAATGACACACATTTTTTTTCCTTTTTTTAATGTTACGAATTTTAGAGTAAATATCTTTTTTGATCCCTAACAAAAAACATGGTCCTCACTTTAGTCTCTTACAAAAAAAAATTAGTCTTAAGGTCCCTAAAAAATTTATAGTGGACCTATTTAGTTGAAATCGTGATCCCTCACAATTTTTTTAAAAAAAAAACCACATTAGTCCCTCATAAGGACTAAAATGGGTCCACTTTGAATTTCACAGAAACCAACTGACTAATTTTTTTTATAAAAGACTAAAGTGAGAACTATATTTTTTGTTAGGGACTGAAAATAGTATTTACTCTAAATTTTATTACCCATTATAATCGCTTTAGCTAAAATTATAAAACAGTCTGACATACATTTTTTTTTATCTCGATAATATGAATTTTTTTTATAATGAAAATAATTATATAATAAATTAAATTCTTTTAAATTTTTTGTGTTAATTTTTTTTAAAACCTATACATGATTTTTATTCTTGTTTATTTTATTTTTTTTCTCAATCTTTTGTTGTTTTTAATTTGGGTTCATGCTGATTCAAATTATTTTAAAATAAAAGTATTGTTGATGTTGATATATAACTTCATAATCATGAATAAAAACCTAATTTTATTATGAAGGAATATTGTTTTCTTGGAATAAAAAACTGCTTATATTTGTTTCCTTTCTCATTGTTTTTTTTAAAGACTCAATTCATGTGAGCCTCTCTCAATGAACTTTTCTTTAAATTAAAATATAATAAAATATAGAATAAATTTTTAATATGTCCAATGCTTAATAATTAATATCATTGATATTTGTTATTTTTAAATTATGAAGCCATTTTTATATATTACACTTTTTTATAGTAACAAAATCTAACGTTTCATTAAAAAAAAGTTTTAATTTTCTCACGCTATATAGGATTCATACAATACAAAATGATTCACAAGTTGAAC